AATAATTCCAAAGACCCATCGGGTACCCGATAGGTCTTTGATTTAAAATTAAAAAAAAACAGACATATCGATTTTCGATATGTCACTGGATTTTATCCGAAATGCTCAGCCTGATAAGGCTTTACATTATTATGATATTTTACCGATCTTACTTGTTCTCAATTTTTATATCAAGTAATATAAGTTAAAAATCATATACATATAAATTATTCAATAGCTCTATAGATATATCAAAAGACCTATCGATTTCTCGATATGTTATTGATTTAAAATTAAAAATCGGTGACATATCAAAATTCGATATAGCTCTGGTTTTTATCCAAAATGCTCTGCTCGATAAGGCTTTAAGATTTTATGATATTTTACCGATCTTTACTGGTTATCAATTTATATATCAAGCATTATAAGTTAAAAATCATATACATATATATATTTCGATAGCTCTATTGATAAACTTTATTTTATACTGATTTGTTTTTGCTTTCTTTTGTTATATCATGTATTATAAATTAAACATCATATACATATAATTTAACCGATAGCTCTATAGATTTTTATGATTTATTTCCTATTATTTTCAGATATATTTTACATTTATCATTTTATATTCAGATTAAAATCGTTGTCTTATCGGTTAATCGATAGGGCTATGATTTTAAATATAAAAACCAGATACATATCGAAACCCGATACATCTCCGGTTTTTATCTGGTTATATGATTTCTGATATGGCTTCATTCGACCTGTGATAGACTGTTGAGATTTTGTTTTTGTTAAGGTCTTGACTTGTTAAAATTTTACTTGTTGGGATTCTGTCTCTGTTAGTATTATGCGTATTGAGATTATAGGCTATCAGGATTATAAATATTAGAATTTTGGAGTAAAATCTAATTATTTTGCTATTTTTTGTAAGAGTTTTTAAGATTTTAATATAAAAATAGCTTGTTAGATATGTATAAGTAAAAATTTTTGACAAAATACATTTTTAAAATAAAAGTATTTTATAAAAATATAGAAAAAAATAAAAAAAAACATTTTGTAGTATACAGATTGCAATTTTACTAATATTGTTTTTTTTTTAAATATTTAATAATTTATATTTATAAAAAATCATAACAGGGAAAAGGAAACTGAAGTAGAAGAACCGGACAGGGCACGATCAGTTTGTGGTAAAGCCGATTCACCAACCAGGCCACCGGGTTAACCGAAGGAAAAGGTTATGGCAGAGCCGATGAACCAAGGACAGATCACAGTCCTTCCGGGCTATCTAGATTGGTAGTCTAGGACTAAAGTGGAGGGGAACTGAAGTACTAAGGATATGCTATGAAGTGGGTACTGAGTTTGGGTGAACTTTGCAAGAGCATAGCCCTGTTGATAGGACTATAGAGTGGGTAGGTTGTTGACAGGGAAGTATTCTGAGCCTTGCTACTGGGTGATAGTACTCATTAAATTGGGTATGGCCTGGGTTTCTAACACAGAAAGAGAAACCAAATATCAAGTTAGATGGCACCTTGGTGTATAGAAACTTATGAAGCTAATTGCAGAGTGGGTACAGAAGATCAGAGGGTTTAAAATAGGCAATCTTCTAGCAGGTTGCAGGTATGGCAGCTAGTGTAGAACCTTCGGGTGGACTACTTAAATAGGCAATCAAAAGTTGTATATGTGGCTAGTTGTATGCTCATCAATGTACCAAAAAATGTTTGTAAACAAACATATAAAAACACAATAAAGCGTTAGCATCTGTGATATCGGTTTAAAAAAAAAAAAAAAAAAAAAAATCATAACAAAATTATTTATACTTTTGTTATATTTTAATTTATTGTACTAACAACATTTTATAGAAATTTACTATATAGGCTTGGTACTAAGAAAAGAAACAAACAAATTTGACAAAAAATAATAGATACAAAAAAATTAATTATCTTGCAATCTATTATTCAAAATTGTATAATTTTAGTATTATTTGATTTATCTTATTAAGATTAATCAATAGTACTAAAATTATACAATTTTGAATAATAAGTTGTGAAATAATTAATTTTTTTGTACCTATTATTTTTTGTCAAATTTGTCTCTTTTTTTTAGTACTAAATCTATATCTTTTAAGTTGTATAAATTTTATTTTTATTAGTTACAATATATTGTCAATATTGAAATTAATTAGATTTAGTTTCTAAAGAACTAAATCTTATATAACTAGCAAATTTTTTATACATAACTATAAATAATAAAAAATATAAAAATTTATATATTATATCTTTTAATTACAGTAGTTTAATTAATAAATATATATTTGTTAACTATTCTTAAAAAATAACTAAGCTAATTATCTTATAATAAGTCTAACTATAAGTTAGTATAGTACAAATAGCTATAGTAATACAGTAGTTTTATTTTTGCTCAAATCTTTTTAATTCAATTTATAGTTTGTTCTTGACAATAAAAAAATACAAGATTACAATATTTTAGTCTTTATTCTTTTTGTTAAAAAACTTTCAAAATCAGAGTAAAGTTGTTAAGAATACTTATATTACATAACCTTTTATAAATTGGTGAATTGTAAAGCTTTATACTACTTAACCTACAATATATAAACAAAAGGCTATCTTTAAAGGCAAGATTCTTTTCGGTTTTATTTTTTATCTTATTTTAAACTTAACCACAACGTAGTATTTAATTTTCTGAATTGTTGCACTATATCTCATAAGTGCAGTTACCTTTTATAAAATCTTTAAAACTGGTGATTAAAAACAGGTTATCGTTGCAATTTACTATGAAAAGGGGATCTCATATAATTTTTATTATAATTTATTACTCGGTGTGACATCTTCCCTGACTGTTAGTAGAATCTGTTGTCAGTGTTGTACATGGACATATGTCCAAGCAAATTATTGGACATGGACAGTCCATGAACAATGTCTAATGTCCAAGTCCATAATTTGGACATGGTTATTTCCATATTTTTTACACTGTCTGCCGTGACATTTTGTTGCGACAGCTATGGTTAATGCGAACAGGGATTTATCCGGAGCCAATGATTTTCTGCAATCATATTTATTTCTCATAAAGTAAGATCATTGGCCTTGAGTTTACTAAAATTTAAAATTCTGTAATATAGTACATTACGTAAACGTGGTTGTACACTGTGTGCATAAATAGAAGTTTCATTTAGAAAAAAAGAAGGGTTACATGATCCTGCTAGACATTAGTTAGACCAAACCTTTTCGAATTCGATTATTATGAATCCATTTCCATCGGATCGGATCTTTGGAACATCAACTGACCATATCGGCGGATTTTTGGAATTTACTATTAAAATTTCAAAATATTTAACAGCGAATTGCTTTTGATCCACCAGTCTGTTCTCGATGAAACAACTACCAAAATGTTCGTCTCGATGAGATGATTCTAATGAGTCCAAAATTGTTAAAATCTAATCACAGGATCCCAAGATCGATAACAATTTGGGTCATTTCGGGTGTTTTAGGATTGGTTAAACCAATCCTAAAACACCCGAAGTGACACAAATCATTTAATTTCGTATCCTGTGATTGAATTTTACCGACTTTTGACTCATTAGAATCATCTCATCGAGACGAACATTTTGGTAGTTGTTTCATCGAGAACGGACCAACGGATCAAAAGTTATTAATTGCTAAATATTTTTGAAATTTTAATAGAAATTCCAAAAATCCGCCGATATGCATACCCATAACTGATAACAAGTACAGAAATACATAAGCAATTACTTTAACAACTAAAAAAAAGTTAATGCCAAAATTAAAGTTGAGCCAATAAACAAAATAAGAGAATTAACATATGATTATATTTAATTAAAGTATCAGCAAGATGAAGAACGATTAAAATTTGCTAATATAGCATATTCGAAGATAATCTACTAATTCGACATAAACGGGCATATAAAGTAAATAAAAGTTTGGATTGCATACACTTAAATCGTGTATTACGGGACAAACCAAATTATATGGAATCTTAAAACTAGATAGTACTACGATAAGTGATGTCGAGTATTCTTAATGTGCCATTTTTGGTAAAATTATTATTGTGTATGCATTGTGACCAACTAAGATATTTGGGTACTCGGGTACAAAATATTTTTTAATACCGATATTGGCTACACCAAGGTGGCGAACAATAGTACTGCAGTTAGTTCGTTTGATATTGTATGGATACACGAATTAGTCAAGTAATAATGTTCCGTATAGGGCAAAATCTCATTAATGTATTCCAAAATTATAATAAAATAGAACAAAATAGAATAAAATAGGTGAGTTCGATTTTATCAATCAAATTTGACTAAAAGTGCAGAACTTTAATACTTAGACATAAACTTTTGCAATTAAAATTTGCCATTATCAAGAAATATGACGATATTATAGAGAGTTATAGCATTATAGAAGATTTATACAAGAGAGCCAGTGTTGTACCAATCGGAGATCTTGGTGAAGTTTGCGTTATAAATTAACCAGTAAAATTCGCATTTTTTATTTTTATTTACTAGTGATTGGCCATTTATTACTAAGATCACAAATGTACTTTAATAGTGACACGACAGCAACTCCTCAATCTTGTTTAAATTGAATGATTTTGTTTATTTCTGAACGGAAGAAACGTTTATCGTTATTTCTACATCAATGTTCCGTTAATTACGATAATAGTAATCACTCTCTTTGTTACTATTTTTCCGTTAGGGCCATTTCTTTTTTAAACTGTAAATTTATTTCATCTTATGCAATCAAACAAAAAACTATCATCATTCCCGTTTCACATATTACATACTTTCTTTTTTTTTGTTCTACTGCTGCAAGGCTTTTATTACCTTGCTTTCTAACGCTTATTTCATTCCTTTTTTTTTTATGATAAAAGAAAAAAAAAATAAATCTCATTCTTTTTAGATGAAAATAATAAAAATTTAATTTGACATATAAAAAACGCACAGTTTATAAAAAAATTATTTATATAATAAAGATTTGATCGATATGAACGGTGATATTAAACTAATACTTTCTTTGATCAATAGAATTAGTCGCAAGGTTAGCATTAGATTTATATAAATGGTAAAATTTTTTTTTTTTTTTACCATTATACTGATTTGCCCATAATTTTTTTGATCTCAATTTTTGAATCATAAAGTTACCTTGTAATAGCGGCAAAAAATTAGAAATTTTGGAACAAGATCCACTTATTCTACAGACTGTTAATGCCATCGTAGAATTATCACGATTTAGACTTGGTACAATAGCCGAGAATCTTACTCAACTTTTGGATACTGTTTCGCGGGTATTTACATCATAAAATCTATTAATTTATTTAATTTTTAATAATTTAATAAACTAGCATTTATTTGATTTCCTCCATTACCTTTAAAAAGTCAACAACTATAATATCTGAAATCCCTTCGGAAGTTTTACAATCTCAATTATTTATTCTAAAAATTTTATCCGCCTGCACTACTCACCATTGGAAATTTTACCGAGGAACTCTACAAAAAGAATTAGAATCATTACCAAGAACTTCTTT